GCCAGCGGACCGTATTGCTCGAAATACTAATAGCAGCCGTCTTAGATGTTCCTCGAATGTTGGTGAGAAAACAATGACGTCGTCGAGGTATACCAGACACGTCTGCCACTTAAGGCCTGATAGGACGGTATCCATCAGTCTCTGAAATGTTGCTGGGGCTGAGCACAATCCGAAGGGCAAGACTTTAAACTCGTAAAGCCCGTCAGGCGTAACAAAAGCAGTCTTTTCTCTGTCCCGCTCATCGACCTCGATTTGCCAATAACCGCTTTTCAGGTCCATCGACGAGAAGAAGCGTGCATGCCTCAGCCAGTCAAGTGAATCGTCAATACGCGGTAGTGGGTATACGTCTTTCTTGGTCACGCGGTTCAGCTTGCGGTAGTCCACACAGAAGCGTAAGCTGCCGTCTTTCTTCTTAACTAGCACTACCGGTGATGCCCAAGGGCTTTTTGACGGCTGAATGATGTCATCATTGAGCATTTTCTGGACTTGTTCTTGGATTGCTTCGCGTTCTTTCGGTGCCACGCGGTATGGGTTTTGTCGAATTGGTCTTGCCGTCTCTTCCGTTATAATTCGGTGCTTTGTCAGTGGCGTTTGATTTACTCTCGAGGTCGACGAAAAACAATCTTCAAACTGGCCGAGAACATCTAGAAGACTCTGCCTCTGCGCTGGCGATAAATCTGTGCTCACTTCGACAGGCAGTGGTGTTGAAGCGGCCGGCGTCTCTGCCTGTTGTACTGCGAAGCACTCGCGGAATTCTACAATTTCTTCAAAGTATGCAACTGTGGTACCCTCTGCAATGTGTCGACGCTCGTTGCTGAAGTTTGTCAACAGGACCTCTGCTTGCCCAGACACTACACTGACGAGACTTCTGGCAATAGCGATTCCTCGAGAGAGTAAAAGCGTCGATATTTGTTCCGCGACACCTTCTCCACTATGCTGCGTGTTACACGTGACAGAGACGAGGCGGCATGACAACGGTGGCATGGTCACGTCGTCAATCACGCGCATGGGCTTGCGCTGCAGCGCTGCGCTATGGTCCGCTGAGAAGGTCAGTACACCGTCCGGTATATTTATAATGGCACCGTACTCCCGCAGGAAATCCATACCCAAGATGACCTGTTTACAACACTCAGAAAGAATAATGAAGGTTGCCACGAATGATGAATCCCCGATCTTGATTCGTGTGGTGCACTTTCCGGTAGGTGTCAGCAGCTGGCCTCCGACTCCTCGAATTTGCGGCCCCGTTCATTCCATTTTTACCTTCTTGAGTTGGTCGGCCAGATTCGCACTCATTATTGAAAAGTCCGCACCAGTGTCGACCAGTGCGGTCACGTCGTGACCGTCAATTGAAAGTGTAATGTCGGCGGTGACAATCTCGTCTTTCGTCGGTTCATTCGAAATGTGTGGCACTTCATGCGGCGGCAATGGGGGATTTTCAAATCTTCGGCAATTCGCAACCTTCCCCCCTAAGGTCGCTGCTTTTAGTTTCCCCGGCGTGGACTGGGAGACCTTCCTCTCGCCATGTCCATGGTGCTACCTCTATTAGATCGGGGAAAATGACCTGGGGAGGGCGAGCGTGACCGGAACCCAGGAGAAACGTGTCGCGGGATCGTCGCGCTCGTTTCAACGTTGCGTCTTCCGTCGAAATAGCGCCGAGGGGTAGTGGACGGAAATCCTTGATACCCGGCAACGCGATGAGGACAATACCGCACGATGTGGCCTGCTTCCCCACAATGGAAGCACAGGGGCCTGTAGTCAGGGGTACGCCATATGTCGGTTTTGCGGAGTGGGGGTCGCATCGGCGTCGACGTTTCCCTGTAGTACCAAGGCACTGTTGGCGGCTGTTGCTGGTGGTACTGTTGAGGTGGCGGCACGTTAGATCTAGGCTGTCGACGGAGAATATCTGCATATGTTGGCCTAACTATTTCAGTGTTCGGCTCGGGAAGTGAAAGCGCTTGCCTTATTTCTTGGCGAACAACTTCTGTGACCGACGCAATCGCGCAGTCATTCGGTGTGGCGGCGAGCTTCTTCACCTCTTCTTGCACAATTTCGCGTATCAGGTCACGCAAAGAACGCTCGTCAGGAGTCACCGTGGTCACGGCGGTTGCGCTGATTTGTCCGCTGTTGTTTTGACGGTCGTACTGGCGGTACCGTAGCTGTAGTGCGCGTTCTATGGCGGTCGCCTCCTTCGAAAATTCGTCGACGTTTGAAGGTGGGTTCCGTACGAGACCAGCAAACAGCTGCTCTTTAACACCACGCATGAGGTGGCTGATCTTTCTGTTCTCGGACATGTCGGGATCGGCTCGATGAAAGAGACGAGCGATGTCCTCAACAAACATAGCAACAGACTCGTTGGGCTTTTGAATCCGTGATTCAAGGAGTCGTTGTGCATGCTCCCGCCTTTCGGTGTTTGCGAAGGTGTCCAGGAACTTCCGCCGGAACTCGTCCCACGTTGACCACACGCGATTCGTGAACCACGTGCGAGCCCCGTCTTGAAGAGGGAAATACACGTACCCCAACTTCTGTGCGGCGTTCCACCCGTTAACGTTGGCTGTGCGCTCGAACTCCTCAAGCCAGTCATCTGCGTCCTCATATGAGTTGCCATGGAAGTCCACAGGAGTTTTAGGGGTGAAAACAGTCACCTGTGTCGTGCTTGGGCTCGTCATGGTGGGGCAACTGCTTCCCGGGGCAGTCATGTTTTCCGTCCAAGGACCGAACTCTGGGCTCAGGCCTAACAGGCGGCGGCTGGCGCGGTGAACGGGTGTTTCGACGAGCGGAAGTCTTTGTGGACTAGATCCCGGGCTGTTGGAAGGCGTCCTGGATATGTACCCAGCTCCTCCACCAGTGTCACGATGCAGACACAGCAGGAGTTCGATATAGAAGAGCTCACTTTAATTAAAAATGAAAGGCGCTCGTAAAGAGGACCGGGCAAGAGCTTCGTCTTCTTCTCTGGCTGTGCGAGCTCTCCTCTGCAGGTTGAATGCGGCAATATGGCCGCCCCTTCAAAGTAATTAGCGACCACCACTCATTGTGCTGGTTAACAAGTCTAAAAGACCCTACCGGGCGATTAGCACGTTGGAGTCTCAGGCTGCAAGAATTCGATATTGTAGTCGTACACAAGTCAGGCAAGCGACATATGGACGCCGACTGTCTGTCCCGTTCACCCATTGAGTCGGCAACCCTACCTGAAGAGGAGGAAATGGCATTTCTCGGTGTCCTCGACACGACCGCCATTGCGCAGCAACAACGTGACGACGCTGAGTTGCTTGGCCTAATCAACTACTTGGATGGCAGATCTCAGAAGGCGCCAAGAGTTTTCGCAAGAGTGTTGTCATCATTTTGTTTACGGGACGGAGTACTCTACAAAAGAAACTTTTCGCCGACGGGATCTGCCTATCTGCTCGTCATCCCAGCAGCCCTTCGTACCGAAGTACTCCAAGCATGCCACAACGAGGTGAGCTCTGGCCATTTGGGTTACACGAGAACGTTGGCCAGAATACAGCAAAAGTATTACTGGCCGAGACTAACCACAGCCGTGAAGCACCACGTCCGTGCCTGTCTCGACTGCCAGCGACGCAAGTCACCACCGACTAAACCAGCTGGCCTCCTGCAACCCGTACAGGTCCCAACAGCTCCATTCTACCAGATCGGCATGGACATTTTGGGCCCACTGCCTACTTCTACAGCAGGGAACCGCTGGGTTATCGTCGCGACGGATTATCTGACCCGTTATGCCGAGACAAAGGCTATCCAGAGAGGTACAGCAGCAGAGGTGGCAACATTTTTCATCGAGAACATTGTACTGAGGCATGGTGCACCATCCGTCGTGATCACAGACAGAGGAGCCGCATTTATGGCAGCTCTTTTGGATCACGTCCTCATGCTGAGTGGAACAGCGCATCGTAAGACCACCGCCTACCACCCACAAACGAACGGGCTGACAGAGCGTCTAAGCAAAACCATTGAAGACATGCTTTCGATGTACGTAGACGGTGAACACAAAAATTGGGATGAAATCTTGCCGTACATAACGTTTGCGTACAATACGGCAAAGCAAGAAACGACGCGCCTGACCCCGTTCAGCCTCGTTCATGGACGAGAAGTACGAACTATGTTAGATGCGATGCTACCGCACGAAGGTGACGGCATCGACCCATACGTCAACACGTTTACGGAACGCGCGGAGGAAGCTAGGCAACTTGCACGTTTACGGATCCGCCAACAACAAGAGTACGATGCAGGCCGCTACAATGCTCACCGCCGAACAGTCGTCTACCAAACTGGCGACAAAGTATGGGTTTGGACACCCGTACGGAAACGAGGACTTTCCGAAAAGCTTTTAAGAAGATACTTTGGGCCTTACCGAGTGCTGCGACAACTGAGTGAGGTTACTTACGAAGTTGTTCCCGACAGTTCGTGTAGTACCAATCGTTGCCAGCACCATCCAGAACTCGTTCACGTAGTGCGCATGAAGCCTTACGTCAGCGAGTGATTGCGTGAGACTTTTCTTCAAAAAAAAACTGCATTATTGACTTCGCATCGGGTCGATGCTCTTTGAGAGGGAGGCAAATGACCAGTGTCTGCGTGTGAACGACAACAATGATGTGGGGATTTAGCAGACACCAAGTAGTGGGCCTCTGGCTTGACTCAACAACAAAGAAGATCTTGTGGCTCAGCTGTTGAGAACACGCTGCTTTCGCTGCCTCAAGGCGTACTTGTACTTTGTTCGCGTTGTACTGCGACAATATATCGCCACAGGCACATTTTCACATGTAAATCGATAAATGAAAATTAACGGCAATAAAAATACAGATGAAATCACATCTGAGACAGCTAGTCGGTCAAGGCATACTAATTCACACAAACACGATGTATATTCACAAAGTGAAATTAACATCTACACACAACACAGGTCGGTCTCATAACACTTTTGTTGTTGGGTCTGCAATTGATACTGAGCGTGCACCAACTGACCCAACAGCAAGCACTGCACCACCTACCAGCGTGTGCAGGCGCCATGTCTACGAGAGCGGGTGTGGCTCCTCCCGCGGCCAAGCCGTAAACTCCCAAGGCGAGCACCAGGAGGCATGTCACAGTCAGCTGATTGCATCCGGCCGACGGCACCAACGCCAGCAGAAGGCCCGCACCAGTCAGGGCTGCATCAGGTAATTAGGTGAGCACAAGGTGCCACGCGCGCTTTCTCTACGCAAAGAAGTTTCGTTCATTGATCTTGCAAGATGTATAGTGCCCACAATTGTTTGCAAGATCTTGCAAGATGTATAGAGCCCACATCTTTGTCCAAGTACATCACAGGCTCCTATTTGGAACAATATGTGAGGGGGGTCTTACATCACAGTTCAAGCAGCATGGATTGTAACTTCCTGAATATAGAAACAGGTGAGTTCTACAAAGTGAATACTAAATACAAATCTTTCAATACACTGAACATATTAGTAGTAATAAGGCTGAATGTGACAGGAATAATGCGCATTAAAATATACTTCAGCCGACAATACGAATTACACAAGAGTGAGCATCGTCTGCGCAAGCCGAAAGTCAAGGCTATGCCGAAGAAAACGCACAAGCATAACAACAAGCTATGAGAACGTAATGTGTAGTTTTTTTTTTGAAAGCTTCAGGGTCAAGTATGCTACCATTTTTATCTGGAAGATATTCTATAACACGAGTGTAAGCCCCCTTTATTTCTTTCAATGCCCGTGCAAACGCGCACTTCCCAACGGGAGCCGTCATTCTGCCTTAATTCAGAGAGTGGTCGTTATGCGGCGCTACGTGAGGGGCAGCGCTGCTTGAGTCACACGGACTTCTGAGCGCTTTTTCTCGGAGATGCGGTAGACATGTTTCCCACTCCAATATCATACGTCAGTCAGATTTGCTCCTTCTTGCTACTTCTTTGTGGCTCGAAGCAACGCTGCCATCGCATCACAGCACAGTGCGTGTGCAGTAGCGCTGCAATGACGCTTCCCCATTGGTGGCCCGTATAGCGCCACGAACAGCGACGCGCTATCTCAAAACACCGTATCTTTTACAGAGCCAGCATGATCGCCAACATTGTTAACACGAGGAATGGAAGGTGCCGCCCCACGGATGTGTACACAACTGAACCAAAAATTACTTCATATGATTTCGATGAGGCACTGCATGAGGGTCTTCTCCCCCATGACCATGTAGTGCCATCATCACCATCATCATTTTTTCCATCACCGCGCCGCGTCTCTCGCGCAGCTGGCGCGAGCTCGAGCTGCGCGAGAATGAGAACGAGCTGACACGCCTGGCGTGGCGGACGCTGGTAGCCGACGTGGCTCCGCTTCAGGCCTGCAATAAAGTGGCGAGATCGGCACGGCCCCATCGGCCGTTTTCGACGCCGTCTCACGTCTCTCTTCTCTCGCCGCTACATTGGTGACCCGGAGAACACGCCCTTCGCCGAACGGCCCGCTGCCATGTTCCCGCAACTCTGCCCGCCAGTGCCGCCGTTCCAATCGACCTACCCCAAGGTATGGTTTATGCAGCTCGACGCCGTTCTTGCGGTGAATGGCATCACGGACCAGCTTCTGATGCACGCCATTCTTCTCGACGCCCTACCGGTAGAGTTGCGCCATCTCGCTGCCACTTCAAGCACCAGCCCGCAGCCTTACGATGCCCTCTACACTGCGGTGCTCGCCCGCAGCGGCAACACATACCGTCCGCTTCCGTTTACCCGCACCAGGCAGGTTTCCCCGGCGTCGCAGAGCAAGGTACGCACGCAAGCGCACGCAGAGCAAGCGACGGCACGTGACACCGTGGCCCTCGCGGTTTCCGCGACCACCAGCTCAGACGTCTCGGCCTCCTCCTCGCCGCAGCTGCTGGTCAGCTCCTCGACGGTGCCCCCTGCCGCTCCGCCACCTGCCACTGGTGCCAGCAATGGCCTGCCGGGTGCCTCGCCACACTCCACTCGCACTTACCCGGCCAGCAGCCGACCGCACTCGGCGTCCCCGCTCCCCGCCCCTGTCCCTGTCTCTGTTTCGTGGTCTACGACGGGCCCCAGCGCCGTGCCTTCGCGGAGCCAGAGCCTGCCCTCAATGCTCGCCCGCAATGGCCTCACGTACCAACCGCTTCCAGGGGCCCGCGACTTTGGGGTTGTCACTGCGTCGCAACGTGTGCTACCAACCGTGGCCCCACCAGACTCCATGACGGCCACCTTGCCGCCCGCCTCGGAGCCTGGCACAGGTGACCTTTCACCCGTTATTGACCTCCCGACTTCCTCTCGTCTGGCCACTAGCGACGCGTGTCCCGCGTACGAACTGCCTACACCATCTGTCGAGCCAACTGAACTATCTACGACATCTGTCGAGCCAACTGAACTGTCTCCGGCCCCTGTCGAGCCAACTGAAGTGCCTACGACATCTGTGGAGCCAACTCAACTGCCTACGACATCTGTTGAGCCAACTGAGCTGCCTACGACGTCTGACCAGCCAACTGAACTGTCTATGACGTCTGTCAAGTCAACCGACCTAACTACAACCACTGTGGAGCCAACTGAAAGCATGGGAACAAGCACTGCCACCAGTCCACCAGCGTCGAATACCTCGACAGTAACTGAGGCGACAACTGAACCCGTCTTTCCTGCACAGCCTCCCATGACGCCATTTCCCGTGGTCCGCGTATTCGGCACGGCGACGAACGAGTCGCAGCCGCTGCCTGCGGACGGCGTGTGTGACTACACCTTCTACGACGGCCTCTACGACACGGGCCCGTTTGACACGCTTTACAGCCCGCACTTTAGTGCACCAGTTGAGCACGTTCTCAGTCACGCGTCGCTTCACAGCGTCACTGAGTACGGCCTCTCTTTCACCTACAGAAACGCATCACAAGTGGCGAGAGACCTCGAAATTCCAGAGGTGCTTTCCACGATTGAAGACCTCTGGGACCGAGCCATCCGCCATTACGGATTTCTTTCCATCGAGCGCTTACTTCTTCGTCCACTGCGAAGAAGTAAGCGTCCACTGCCACTGCCCGCCAGAGTCCCACTGGTTCCCGATGGTCACTACACGTTGACAAACTGGACTTGCCAAAGGAACACTTTATGGACTGCCGTTCATGTACATAGCATTTGTCGCCCTCTTTCTTTTTTTCATATGCGTTAAAATCGCGCAAAGCGCTAGGGGGGGAGCCCTGTAGTGCCATCATCACCATCATCATTTTTTCCATCACCGCGCCGCGTCTCTCGCGCAGCTGGCGCGAGCTCGAGCTGCGCGAGAATGAGAACGAGCTGACACGCCTGGCGTGGCGGACGCTGGTAGCCGACGTGGCTCCGCTTCAGGCCTGCAATAAAGTGGCGAGATCGGCACGGCCCCATCGGCCGTTTTCGACGCCGTCTCACGTCTCTCTTTTCTCGCCGCTACAACCACAAAGCATTCGCGGAGGCTAGCCGATGGGACTGGTTGATTTATATGTGGGGTTGAACTTCCGAAAACCACCATATTATTATGAAAGACGCCGTAGTGGAGGGCTCCGCAGATTTCGACCACCTGGGGTTCGTTAACGTGCACCGAAATATGAGCACACGGGCCTACAGAATTCCCGCCTCCATCAGAAATGCAGCTGCCGCAGCCGGGCTTCGATCCCGCGACCTGTGGGGCAGCAGCCGAGTACCTTAGCCACTAGACCACTAGAGCGAAGTGAAACACTAAAGCGTGCACTTGTTTGAATATAACCTAGCTGTAAAGATCAGTGTGGCATCGTTTTATAAAGCACCCTGAAAGATATTTTAGGTTTATTTAAACGTGTACTCCATTCTAGAACTACGTCCTCCTCCTAAGCAGCTCTCGACTATTAACTGACGTTCACTATCGCACGCTAATAGGAGATGAAGAAAAGTTAGTCACACAGTAATAAGCACACTTGCTACTCTCTAAGCACGGAAAGCTGTCCTCGTTGATCAAGAAATCACCAAGGAACACCGAACACGGACAATCTCCACCTGGCGTGTGAATATTGTAAATAAATATATGAATAAAAAATAGGCAGATTCCGCATACAGTGGGAATCGATGATATGCGAAGCATGAATGAGAAATGTTGATACGTCACTTTAAAATCAACACAACGTTACGAGGGGGAGGTAAATGCTGTACTTGACTTCCGTATCATGATTATCATGTTTGGATGTGTCGTTTACCTTCGTCATGTATTCACGTCACGTAATACCAAAGTTAGCATGTGTGAAGCTAGCGAAACGGCCGCGAGCACACTAAACGTGGTATGTTGTCATGTTTTTACATGACACGCGTGTCAGGATTATTATGTTTGCAACCAGTCTAATATTTCGTGATTCATTGACGTCACGTAACACGAAATTTGTTATATGCGGAACTAGAAAAATGGCCCCGAGCGCATCATGAAGGGTCCAATATACCACGATGTAGCGTTGACGCGCGCGTACGCTGGCCACAGCAGCGCTACGTTAGCAAAACGCGAGCACTCTATAGTCTGACGCGAGACGCGACCAGCATTCGTTGGTGCGGCTCGACGGCAACCAGCGCGAAATGCATAATGCTGTATTTCGCTCCGATGCGTTACCCAGACAACACTGCATCTCTCTCTTTTCGTGACGGAGCGACGCCGGGCGCGCTGAAACGCGCATGCGTCAAAGCACCGCAGCGCGGCACGCGCCTGCGAGTATGTGGCAGGTCCGGCACCTGGCATGGCAACGCTGGCGTGACGCGACGAAATGAACGCCAGCGAGCACGCGCACTGCGTTACGTCGAAATGTATTGGCGACTTAACTGTGGCATGTATTCATGTTCTCACATGACACGCATTTCATGATTATGATGTTTGCTCCAGTCACATACCTTCGTCATCCATTGGCTTCACATTATACAAAATTTGGCATATGTAAAGCCAGCGGAACGGCCGCGAGCGCATCATCAGAGTGGCATGTAGTCATGTTGTTACATGACACGCATGACATGATTGTCATGTTTGGATATGTCATTTACCGATGTCGTGCTTTCGCGTCGCGTAATACTGAGTTTGGTACATGAGAAGCTAGCGAAACAGCCGCGAGCGCATCATGAGTGTGACATGTAGTCATGTTACATGACATGAATCTCATGTTTATCATGTTTGAACCAGTATGATGCCTTCGTCATCCATTC